ATACAAAATAATCTCACAGGCACTATTTAGAAGTTGTGAACTTCTTGCAAACTTTTCCTCAAAGACCGTGCTGAGATGACATCTGTAACTGTAAAATATAAGATCTCTGGAGAAATTCTGAGTAGCTTTGTTGACACTTTTTATATTAGGTGTAAGCAAAACAGTTGCATTCCTCACCCGCAGAAGAATGATGGGTACGAAGGTTAAATCCAGATTATGAATATGACCTGTTATTGCTATCAGTTTAAACAAAACATTTGCCAATGTTTATGGAAGACTAAAATGTCTTTACTGCTGCTTCTGGAAAGAAAAAAAGCCAACAACTATTGTTATTACTATCAGGAAAAAAAGGTGTTTCTGTCAGATGAGAAACCAAGCAAGCATTCCTCACTAAATCTCTCCATCAGATGCATAGCCTGTGTACTACTGTTACTAACCCCTTGCTCTGTAATCTCTCTGTATATATGTCTAATTTATCAGTTTCTTGTAGATTGTCAGCAGCCTGCTGCCTCCATACCGCCACACGGCTCACAACTAGCCAGGGGGCCCGATTGCCAGACTGTCAGGTAAACTTAACTAACTCTTTTCTCTTTGCACATAGCTGCATGTTTTAGCAAGTCTGCAAGTTCCCTTGCCTTCCTTATAGAAAAGCTCTTCCCATCTGTACAAGTCTTCACTAGCAGCCAACTTTTAACAAATTGAGGGGCAGTGACAATTTCTGCAGCGACAGTATAGACATGAATATCACAAAATTCAAGCACTTATATCCATGTAAAACATGTGGACAAAAACGCAAAGTTGAATATTGCGGTCCTCATTTGGTCTTTTTATGCGGGCACTTTCTCAGTGATGTCAAAACAGTAGCGATTGCATTTTCTTGCTAGATAAATATACTTAAGTGGGGGGCTTTTGATTTTAGGGCTAGGTGCAGGCTTCTCTTTTTGTAAGATAGTATTTTAAAGGCACTCGTGAGATTTTAGCAGGCACTTCGTAGAGAGCTCTCCTGGTGCTGACAACTCTGTCCCACTGCAGTGGGTTGCTAGTCTTGTTGTTAAAAGTAAACTGCTGGTGTCCTTGCTCATGGGTAGTGCAAAGGCCAAATCACGCTTCTGAGAAGGTTAAGTAAATCAAGGCACACAAAAAACAAGCTAAACCAAAGGACTTCACAATACTTTTTTTTAATCAGTTCACTTTATGTTCTGTGCATATAGTCATCTATGACCCTACTCTCTCATTTGAAATAGCTTATATTATTTTTAGCTTGATATATAGTCACCAAGTTGATCTAAAGCCCTAAATATAATGAAGATGTTCCCCTCCCTCCAGCAACAAACTTATGGCATATGGAAGTCTGCAGTAAGCACGCTGGGGAATGGTTGTAGTATGGCTTTCAGGCTGCAAGTCAAGCGCCGCTGAGTGCAAATTCTGCTAGGTCACAGGCAGTCTCTCAGGGACCTTGAGAAAGCCCCTTAACTTGTGCCTCTCTTTTACTGCCTGTAAAGTGGAAGTGATATTAACTTCTTTACTACATATAGGTATTACGAATATTAAATAATATTTGTAGTAAGAAGTTGTTGAAAGTTCCGTATAAGCAATAAGTACCACTCCTCAGTTTGGAGTATCATAGCACAATGGAAGAAGTTACTAGTTCCATGTAAAACCCCTATAACGCATTTTCTGCTATATTTTAGATATGACAACAATTTTATATCATCATTAGACAGTTGCTTTGAACAGATGGAGATTTAATATCTGCAAATCTTATTTTAACCCCATTTCATTTAGCATCACAAAAACAAAGCCTATTAAATGCTTTTTCCAGAGCAGCTCTCCTTGTAGAGAAAATGCTATTTTACCTTCCCACTCTGAATACTAACAACCAGTTGCTCCTGTAATTTTGGAGATTCTTGTCAGAATGGAAGACCTAGCTAACTTATCACTGCTATATGTTTGTTTGTATGCATTACTTTGTTCTGCAAACAAACCCGCAGAAAGGGATGTGTTCCAAAGGGAAGTCTCAGGATTTTCTGATTTGTCCCTGAATTCTTCCTCTGTTAGAAAGATATCATTAGCTGCAACCAGAACTGGAACTCATGTTCAAGAAGCATTTCTTGCAATGTTTCCAAACCAGAAGAATGGCATATAGGAAATAATAATGATAATTAAAAGTGTGGTTCAATACTTTAAAAATTCAGATCAGTCATCCTACACACAATACGTACCCATATACTTAGCTTAACTATTGACCTTTAAATGACTATCAGTTTTATCACTAAATTGATACTCTTCTGATTAAGTGAAAACCTGCACTGTTTTTGATGTATTACCTATGATGCTTTGTTTGTCTCAGCCACATAGCTGCATAGCCTTGTAGAGCAGTGAAGCATAACAACAGATTTAATAGAAGTCAGCCTGATGGCATGAGTTTGTGAGTGCTTTAAATAAAGTAATTGAAATCTGGAGTGAAAACTAAAGGCATTTAAAGAACCACTTAGACTTACGAGGTTCAGGTTTATCAAACTGGGGAGAGGAGGAAGACAGGAGATTGTAATGCCCTTCTGGGTCTTCTGATCATCCCTACTGGTGTAACACGCACACTCTCAATTGTGGAGTGATGCCAAATGAGACAGATTAAAGTCATGCCCAGCCCTAAAATCACCCTTTTTAAGAGAGAGGTATGCTTGTTTTTTAAATCTCTAATATCACTCTTGCAGTAGTGTGACCTCTGAACAGCATCTCACCCAGGATCAAACAATAACATGTTAAGACTAGTAATTCGTACAAATATTTTCTGCCTTGCGGTATGTCTAATCATATTTGAACTAGCTTTTTATGCCTGACCATAACACAGATCAATTGACTCTGTACTTTAATATTGCACATACAGAGTTTTTCCTAATCCACTACCTATACTGAATTTTAAATGCAATTTGTATATCTCTGTGGATTACCTAGTAATTGTGAAAATGGGTGATTCCAGCGTGTAAGTTTTGGAGAACCACACTGGCTAAGCTAAGAGCAGATTCAAGCCAAATCCCGATGCTGATGCTAAGAAACATCTAGTCAACTTATATTAGTCTTGTTGCTTGTGTCTGCGTATTTAAAGTAGAACCTGATCTGGAGAATCTGTGAGACCTTTTCTTAAGAGGTTTTCTAAGTAAACTGATGTGACATTGCATGAAAATCTCACTGTGCCTTCCATGCATCACCTCAATTTCTAGTTCAAAGATCATGTGGCAGCCAAACGTAGGCCTGTCCAGAAAATTACTGGGGAGTGTTGTCATATTCCACCCCCCCTGCCATCACCTGTAGTTTCCTATTTGTCTGATTTATTATATTGGACAAGACTAAAATATTAACCGTCATCCAATAATAAAAAGTGCGTGCCTTTCTTTGGGCTATATTCAGGCTTCTTTTGAATCCAGTGAAAATCTCATAGTCATTATCAGAAGTCAAGATAGTGGCACGTTAGCTGTAAAAAATCTATACTAATACTGCAGATGAAATGAATGTTCATCATTGTATAAGAAACAATGATTTTATTTCATATAAAAAGGAAATAAAGTAAAAATAAGGTAAAATATTACTGCATGCAAAATAGCTCCATTCTGAAAATATCACTGATTTTTTTTTTTTAATATTTCCCTGTGCTGAGTTGTTATAGTTACAATCTACGCTAGACAATATTGCATGTCAATGACATCTTTAAGAAAGAAAAGAGCACTTACTAACACTGAAGGGCTTTGCATGATCCTGTCCAGTTGATTTTAAAAATACGTGATTAGCATTTTGAGTGCTGAGGTGGGGTGTGGGGGGCAGGGAACTGCTTAAAAATAGACAATAACACTAACACAAAAATGACACAAACCTCATTCATCAACTGAATGAATAGATCCCCAAATGATATCAGGCGGTAAACAAAGGTTTACAAAAATGTTTATTAAAACCAAGTGCTTTAAGAGCAGCACATATCCTGTGTGTGGAATGTAACAATATTCTCACTTATTCCCAGTTAATAGTCAACAGTTTCAGGTTCCTCCTTGTCTTTCTATTGTTTCGTGTTCTTGCTCCACCTGCCATCCCCTACGACCTGCCTTCGGTATGCCTGATAGCTGAACTCCAGGACCTGCTACCACGATCACCTGGACTGCCATAAAAAGCACACACACTGCATGCCGTGTGTCACTTGCTGATTCTGCCTGATGGATGATGTATTTTCTGTTCTTATACTGCTATAGCAGTCTGTATTACTGAACTGGATATACTGTTTTTCTGGAGAGAGGGTGGTGTAACAATGGAGTGTTAGAATTAATACTCCATGGAGTCAAACCTCCTAGGACTGCAAGTGATGGGTGTATATATATGTTGCTGAAAAGGTGCCTGTACTGATAACCTTGTGATTTTTTTTTTCTCTTCTCAATGCCCCTAATGTTTATTATTGGTTGAAAAGGGAATGGTGAGACCAAATTTTATATTTATTCTGTCATGTAGAAGTGTGCTTGTATTTCAAAGTGAGAAGCAATGCAGAATTACTGTGAAGAGAAAATGAATGTGATGATAAGCAGAGTGTTTCCTAATCTGAGCATATTCTGGGATATTCTGTATTACAGTATCTTCAGTCAGCACTGATTTATACAGAAGGTGATGCCAGAACACTAATATGGGTGGGCATATATGTATACAGGTGAAACTTATGTTTCAAAGAGGTCTTGTTTCAGGCTGTTCCTGCACATAGTTGATCCTAAAGATGGCTGTTTCCTCACTAGTCTTCTCACCCAAAGCATGAACATCTTGTGGTGTTCATTTTTAAAGTTAGGATGGAAGCCCCAAAAAACAAATATATTTTGGCTAATGAGCAAGGAAAATGTATGTTGAGTTTTCCATTCTTTTTTGATAATCACAGATGTCCTTGAAAGGAGAGGTGGGGGAGCAAGGGAGGGGAAAGTCAGTCTTTGTAGGGTAACAAGGGTGGTATAGAGCACCACCTTGTTTGTCCTCCCCAAATGCCATGTTAAAGATGCAATTCGCTTTTGTTTCTCTTAAAGATTTAAGTCTAGTTCTTCCCCCAAGCGTATCTTGAAAACATAAGAGGTGCCAAAGCCTGGAGCTGGCTCTTGATGGATGGATATGTTCTAGAGTAAATGAAGATCTTTGGGTCCCTCTCCAGTGTCTTCTGACATACTCATTTGAGTGTGGTAGGCAAAGATCTCATTCAGATTCCACTTTAGGTGCTATATTTGCATCTGTATATTGTATAATACAGCAGACCAAAAGGAAGGTTACAACCATGGAAAGAAATAACTAGGGAAGACAGGTTTGGTGTCCGCTCAGGGTTTTTGTTTAAACCAGCCCAATTGCTAAGCTTCAAGAAAACATTTTGGGTTAAATATTTATAAATATTTATATCTAGGTGCTTAGACTTAGTCTCACACCTATATCTAGCTGTTCTAAAGGTGGATAGAAACTGAGGATTTATAGTCTTAAAAAGCACTAAATACTTTAGGACCAACCTACTGAGATAGCTGAGCATGAAGCAAAACTTGTGAGGTGCAGAGCATCTATAACCTACACCGACCAGGCATTTTGCAATCAGGCAACTCCTCTTTAAGAGCGTAACTGTGAAACAGAGTCTAACTTAAGGCATGCAAGTTCATGATCTTCAACTAAATCAGAGGTGCAAGGACTCTTAACTCCTGCTGAGTTGTAATATCAATGTATTTGTGGTCATGATCTTTTAAGCTCCTCTGATTTGAAAACATGATATCCCCGTCTAATTTCTTAACAGTGATGGTGCACGCTTGTTTCTGTCTTAAGTAAATGCAGTGTCTTTTTCTTTGTTTCCCTAATTTTAAATGCTACATGTGTAACTACAGACATTTTCAGTACCTCTGGCATTTCCAATTGCAGATTCTCAAATTCCTCTGGCATTTCAAATTGATTCATTTCCAGCAATAGACTAATTGCTTTCCTTTCAACATTCCCGTACTCTGTACTGGAGAGATAATATGTAACAGCATGATTTCTAAAGGAAGGAAAATGGAAAAAGCAAATTTTCTTGAGGACAGGAACAGAAATGATTGTGCTTCATCATATACATGCAGCTGAGCTTGGAATAACTCCAAGACTGTAAAATATATGAAACATTTAAAAAAAAAAAAAACCCTCTTCCCAGACACATTTAAGTACTGTAGTCGCTTATAAATTATATTTACTTGTATTCTGTTTTGGCATTTTGTTTTGCCGCGTGCTTTCCTTGAAAGATTAGTGGCTGTCAGTCAGCTCGACATCAGCTATGTGAGCTGAAATTCACCCTTGTAAAAGTGTACAGCCCAAGGCTGAGGAATCATAGGGGACTTACTTAAGCTGTGCCTGCATTGCATATTGCAGTGTAGTGTAGATAACTGAGCTAGCTTTAAATGAGCCAACCGGAGTAAGTTAAGTCTTCTAGGAGGAGCATCCTGGAGCTCTGCACCGAAAAGTAAGGTATGCTTACGGCAGCTGGCCCTTATCTTTGTGCTACCACATCTAGGTTGCTGCTTGTATCAGACCTAGCCTGTTAAAAGCTAGTTCTGACGTCTCTCTATTACATGATGGTATGTACTACCTATAAATGCATATATGCACATTTAGAGGTTTAAGAGGCAAATGCTATCTTCAGAGCAATTGTTTATGGAAAAACAAACTATTACAGAACTGAAGAGGATTCAAGGAGCACATTGAAAAACAACAGAAACCTTTGGAAGTGGTGAATTACAAGATGTATAATGGTTATGTTGCCTACTGAGGAAGATGGCACTGTATTTATATGAACATACTAGTTAATAGGTTGCATTCAGTAAGAGACCATGTTTTCAGAAAGTACTGAAACCTGATTTCCAGATTGGCGCTTCTCTTCATTTAGAACAGTTAATTAGTTGCGTATATAAAATCCTTAATGCTCCCGTTAAAGATGGCACCTGTACTTTGCCCTTGAAATTCACTTCCTCATTTTACACATACATTCATTTCTCCATTCTTTGTTAGGGCATGCAAACAGCAGTTGTATACATGAATTGGCAAGCAGGATATCTGCAGCATTTCATGTATATGTCCAGGTGTCACTGAACATGTGTGCACTAAGGTTTTTTGTTATGTATACTATGTATCTGAGGATACAGATTTAGAAATGAGGTTTCATCACCTTTTGACGTTTGTTTCCATCCCTGTACTGTTTACATGCATATGAAATGTGTACCATGTTTTTAAGCCTTTTTTCTCTTTTCTTTTTAATTTTCAGTCCTAATGCTCTTCCAGAAGAGCAGCCACATTCCAGCTCTCAGTGTGCCCCTCTCAACTGTCTCTCTAAGCCTCCTCCTTACCCCTAATCTTCATATGCAACGTAAGAGAAAATGCAAACAGAGTGGAGTTGATGCAACAAGGGTTCGGGTTGTTCCCAGCGAGTCGGCAGACAATCCTGCCTTGTTGCTGCGTTGACAAGCCTGGATTCAAATCCACTGTGTTCTGGCAACGGGAGGGAAGGTTGAGAAGAAGAACACAAAGCACAGAGCCCAACCTATCAAGAAGACTTTTTATGGTTCCTCTGATTGTATCCAAACTTTGCTATCACAGTTACAGTGTAGTGAAATTTAACATCTTGACAAAGTGTTCCTCCCAGCTGCTTGGCTTTACCTCTGAAATACTGAGAGACTTAAGCCAATATTTAAGAAAGTATGTTACAAAAATCCTACCCTCCCGTCCTATAAGTTCAGCCATAGGAACCAGTTCAAATTTCCTTTTGTCGTTAAGAGTGTGGTATTTATTTCTTCCTCTATTTGCACCATAATTTTGTGTTTATAAAATACAGTCTTTTTTTTGAGAGAGTTGTATTTAATTCATTTTATTTTTTAAAAAACAAGCAGAAATAGCTTAAATGAAGAATGACTGAGTTAATATTAAAAAGGAGGCTTGTTGCATTGGCCAGCATATGGCCAATTTGTATTGCACAAAAATGTTGGAAATGGGTTGAATTGGAAAGATAACGATGACTGTATATTTTGCTGCTGCACTGATATTGTTTATGCACTTATTTTCTAATTCCTATTATGCTAGCTTCCGGTTTTGTTGTAGCTCTTCACTGAAAGAATTATTAAGCCTAAGAAGGAGACAAAAGGATGGTGTATTGATTTGTTTTCAATTGTTGCTTACATCGTAATTATATTTTTGCATTTCAGACAAGTAGATGAATTGGTGCTGTTTTTTGGGGTTACTTTCTATTTGGTATCTGAGAAAGAATATATAAAACAAGTAAAATGTTGTGTGCTAATTAAAAACATTCTTTCCTCCTGCTCCCATATTCAGGATACTAGCTCGAGGCCTTACCGTGAAAGGCTAGTGTGAATGGCAAAGTTGTATGCATTTTGTGTGAAGTACTCTGTGGTGGAATAACTCCTGCAGGTGAGGTTAACGGTGTGGATCAAAGGTGGTAGGATTTTACTGTAGTGCATTTTTTCCTTGCCAAAAATCGACAGATACAGAACCTTAGCTCATGTCAGTTTATGACAAATACTCAGGTGATCTACGCTACACAGATTCTATTGCAACAGTGCACAGTGTTCCTAGTTAAAGATTCTTTCCTGCAAAAGCTCAATAAATCTGTTTTTTTTTCTTTTTTTTAATAGTGGATTTCAGAACAAAATCAAGGATTGCAGAATTTATTTTGCACAGTACCTGACAGCAAGGCAAGTGGCTAAGGAAGATGTAGTGTTTCAGCATCTATGGGCTTCCTCTCTGGTCATCAGATAGAAAAGAAGTCCTCAGTACTGCCCATTTGTTGGTAATTAGCAGACTCCTTGCTCTTTGTCAGGTGGCCTTAATTTATTTACAGATGAAAAGCTTAGGTTTTTCCACATCACTCTGTTCCCTTCTCTGCAGCGTCAGTATGATCTACAGGCTCAAAAGACAGGACAGCCTAAAGTGCAGCTCAGTTGAAAAAAATTGCTGCAGAGATGGTTGGAATAATTCCTTCATGTTTTTGCCTGTATCTGAGAAAACAAACTCAGTCGGCTGTCACTAACAGCGCTAACCAAATGTTATGATACACAGAGCATCAGCAGAGGAAAGAATCAGTGACCAATCAGTGTGCCTAACTATCATTATCACCATAGTACCAGTAATGAAGGTGCTGTAAATAGAAATACTCTATGTAATCAACAGTGTATGTCGTGTAACCTTGGCAAAGCAGCTGAGCTATTGTAACGAAACATTCAGAGTCAGAGGTGGAGAAAATAGGAGCAAACTGACATCAAATTCTGATCGGATCAAACAGACAACAGTTTGCAGTGTTTCTGCTTCGGTTTCTGTGCAGTTCACACGATTCTTGTATACATTTACATAACTATTTAGTATCATACTTAATCTACATGTTGTCTTGTCATAGGAAAGTCAAGTAAAACTTGTTTAGCTCTATCATATTTTTTGGCACTGAGATTAGCTGCTATTTTGATTTTTACTAAAGAAACGTTTTGCCTGAGGCGAATGTTGCCTTTAAAAAGCGTCTCAGAATTCCTGACCTTGTCAGACTGCTGTATTAGTACTCTGCAGTGGTGATGTCTATGTATGTCCAACAAAGACAGCTACTGTATATTGTTCAGTGGAAAAAGAATTTGCATTGCACATTGAATACAGTTACTGCAAGCAGTACTTGGAATATTTTTACCTAGTTTCATATCCAAACCAAAACATTTTTCCCTGAATTTAAAAGCTAAATTGACCAGAAATTCAGTGAAATACGTTTCCTTTCTATGTATGAATTTATTGGGGAAAAAAAATCCTTGTATTGGAACATTTGTTTAGTAATGCATTTGTTTGCAATTGTGATTTGCAAAGCAAATTTGGGAAGTTGAAACATTGTGCTGGTATGTCCATGTGGATCAAGAGTTACAGAACAGCATCCAGTGGTTTAGAAATTGTGGCCATGTTTTGTAGAAATAAGTGGGTTTATTAAATTTTTTATTCTCTTAAGCTTTAAACTCTTCATTTCTAATTTTTCAATTTATATTTTTTAATATAATAAAACGTAAGTGTTGGAAAATTAACAGAACTAGAAACAAAGCAGCTTAAATGTATAAATGACTGTAGTTATTGCATTGTAAGTTATAAAACTGTGTAGGTCCCCAGGACAGCTTTTGTCAGTTAATCAGTACAAATAAAATATATATCTTGAACCTGAGATGATAAACTCTTCTTTATTATCTTACGATTGATGACATACAACTTTGTGAGATATTTGGTAGGAGGTATTTACTGCAGACAAAAACAAAAGCCAGTTTTTTAAGAGTTGCGAAATACTAAATTTCCCTCATTTAAAATTAATTTCCAATGTGTTGATATCTATTTTGATTTTTAAAGATTAAAAAAATAAGAAAAAAGATGCATATATTTTCTAAAGGTCGTGTTTGCTTAAAAATGCTGAGGTATGTCCTACACAGGAAGAAGTGACTTTCAAATCCTGCTCTGTCTTTCATGTCTGAAATGCAGCTTTTGTTCTCTAGGAGAGCCTTGAAATTTCTTTGGGTTTGGAATAGTCCGTTCAGATCTGGGGCGGTCTGTTTTGGGCTTTATTTTCTCACACAGGAGAAAAAAGTTTTCCTTGTTCAGTGAAACGATCCACTTCTGGAAATCCAGTTTGTAGGAAATATGTGAAATAATGAAACCAATGTATAGATTAAAATGTAAGTAGAGAAGAAGATGAATGAATAAGAAATTGTAAAATGTCGTAGTATGAAAAATGTATTGGATCAGTCAGAAGGTAAATGGAAGGTAAATTCTATCGGTCAGAAGGTAAATCTTTTTTTACAAAAAGAAGAAATATTGTCATTTCTCATGCTAACCGTGCAGAAGTTTCTGCCTTCTAGATGGAGGCAATAGTTAAATTCTTTCTGCTTGATCTGACTGACAGGTTGGCATCTGTGCGCTTGCTCCATCCACGTTTTTCCCAGTAAATTAATGTAATCATAGCTATACAGTAGGGTTCATAGAACGAAGCTGTAGTTAAGGTAATGCTGCAAGTTTTAATGATGACTTTCAGTTTATTTCCAATTAAAAAGGATTCTGAAGTTGTTTTAGCCATTTGCCATATTTAGGTGTAAACAAAAAGGAGATTACGTTATGAAATACAGTCTAGACCTCATCTATGAAGGCTGCCCATGAAAATTATGTTGCGAATGCTTAAGTACAGCTGTTAGGAAAGCGGGACCCACTGGGGACGACCCACCCAAGCCTGGGCCCATCACTCGGCGTGCAGCGTGGAAGTCGGTAGGAGTTGTGCTGCCCGTTCCAGTATAGCTGGATCGAGATCATCACAAGGTATAGATTATGTCAACCCCTTGGAGGTCTGTTTCCCTCCTCTGGTGGAAGATGCACATCCACTGAGGTTACAGTGAACTTATTTCTTTCTGTATTTCAGAAGTCTTTGTTTGAAAATGGCAGGGACTGACGTTTTACCTTTGAAGTATGACCATTGCTATAGTTACCTCTTTAAAAACTACAGTCATCACTTTTCTTCAGTTTTCTGTCACTGTGTGTGCAGTGCATCTGAAAGGGATATACAGTGTTCAGACTTTTTTTAACCATTGGGGGGCTGTTTTTTTTAATATAATTAAGCATCCTGTGGGAAATAAACAAAAAAGCAAATGCCTTTCGCCTTAAGGCACGAATGCATCTAAATATGCAATGTAAAATGCGTGCATGAGATTCTTAACATCATGTAGCTTTTCCATATCCACGATTAAGCTAGAAAATTCTTATTTGTTGCGTGATCTGCATATTCCTCATGTTAGAAAGGCAAGAAGACTATCGCACGGAGTCTGTATCTTTCATTCGGAGATGCAGGGCTTAAATCTGCATTGGATTTTAATCTGTTTCCTGTGGAGTTCTTGCAAATCCCCTCCATGAAATCTAACAGCACCCAAGTGACGGACTGACAAGAGGTAAAGGAAAAATCCTATATTCCATGGCTGGAGTTAATGTGCAGGCAGACTCTGGGTGACAGGGCCCTGTGTTTCAAAGAGTGTCTTTCTGTGAAGGCTTGTGTTGGTTTTGCTCATCATTATTAGCTGTAGCGGAAACAGTGGAGAAGAGTACATGTTTTTTCTCAGCATTAGTAAACTGAATTAAATAGATTTTTTATAAAAGCTGTAGCTGTTTTGATTTCAAGAATATTTTGGAAATTAATGAACACAAGAGATTGATACAAGTTTCAAGTAGACTGATTTGCTAACTGAGCTGTTACTTCATCAGCTATGAAGTAGAAATAAGAGTAATCTAGCTTTTTATTTTCCTATTCACAGGTATGGCCATTTGTGTGCCATGCCAGTGGATAAATTAAGTCCATTTTATTAGTTATTGCCCTATTGACTTAAGCCCTGTGGTTTGACTGTTAATGGGTTAATTACCTTGCTCCTTTGTAAACAATTCAAAACAAGGAAAACTGATGTTTTGTGACTTTTGTAATCTATTGAATGTTCCCATTTGCATGACGTTCTGTATCTAATGAACCAAACAGGTTGCTGTGTTCCTTTCAGAAGAGTTTTAAAATTGGTGGTGCTTGTGGAAAAACACAAATTTGTATACTGTATGTTTACTGCTGTAATAACTCAGCTACTCCTATGTTGAATTGACGTTATGTTGTCCTGCCTTCTTGGGGTTAAATGATGGAGTGTTTCTAGGTGGTGAAGAATATGGAAGTATATATGTTCATTTGCTAAAGACTGAATATTGGAAACTCTTCTTGTTGCTACTTTATGCTAAAAGCAAAAAATTTAATTCTTGTTTCCAAAAAAATGCATCATTTGTTTTTTAAAATTGAAGTAATTCCCATGTTAACTCGTCCTTGTAGACAATCCTAGGTTAATGCCTTGTGAGGGATTCATAAAGTCTGTGCTTGTACATGTGTAATATGATCATGCAGTCAAATGGTTGGGAAAAACACTCTAGTGCTAAAGAAAATAATTAAAAGAAGCCAATATACTGATTCTTACATCTTTATGTTCAAATTAAAATTACAGTGTAATGCATAACTGTTCCAGTGAATAAACTGGCCATTTTTGTTCATTTAACTCTGTGCTCTCTGGTCTACTTCTGTCAGTTTGCGGTGCGTTGTCTTGGCCTGTGCTTTTACATGTATTTAACTGTTAAAGATGCATAATTGTAAGTGTAAAGGGTTTCAGAATTAAAGGAAAGGAAATTGAGAAAGGCACTCAAAATTAAAGGAGAAAGAAATCAAAAATAAAGATGCTTCCTCTCTTTTCTGAGATTGAGGTGAATAATAAAATATGGGCTGGTTCCCCACATACTGTTTCCAGCAGATTTGAGTGATCTCTGAAATGCTCCAATATCTAAATAAGATCGCTGTACAAGACTGCTGTGTAAGATGCAAATCTCCAGCCTCAGGGGATGTGGAAGCAAAGGAAGAGCTGAAGTTGGCAGAAAATTGGGTTAGGAGTGCCCTGTACAGTACAGGGTACCATACCTGCTTCTCAAAGCGAGAAACATCTTTTTCCCCTGCCAAAGTGCCCGTGCATGCCCTCACAGCAAGGGCATCCCAGTCCTCCCTCGGCAGCTGGGCTCGCAGG